TAGGTTAGATGAGGGAATTGATCCCTGTGAGGTGCTCAGGCACTGGGTACAGGTTGTCCAGAGAAGATGTGGCTGCTCCATCCCTGGGAGTGTTCCAGGCCAGGTTGTAATGAGATGAGCTTTAAGGTCCCTTCCAGTCTTAAGGTTCCCTAACCAGTCTGGGATTCTGTTACTCTATGAAAATGACCAAAACATAAAGGACTTTGGATCAAGGGAATTGATCCCTGTGAGGTGCTCAGGCACTGGGTACAGGTTGTCCAGAGAAGATGTGGCTGCTCCATCCCTGGGAGTGTTCCAGGCCAGGTTGTAATGAGATGAGCTTTAAGGTCCCTTCCAGTCTTAAGGTTCCCTAACCAGTCTGGGATTCTGTTACTCTATGAAAATGACCAAAACATAAAGGACTTTGGATCAATTGAAACGACAGCAGAGAGACAAGGGAAGAGCAGGAACTGGGATTGATGACTAGCTGAACAAAGCACAAGACTGCTGCAAAATGAAAGTAAAACCCCCAAAAGTTTACAGGCTGGAAGAAAAACCAAGAAAGAGAGGGAAGGAGACTGGAGCACCACTGATCCCTGAAAGTGCTTTGAGGAAGAACCACCAGGGCTGGAGCTCCCATGTTCTCCATGTGTGGGGAAACGTGACATTAGGAAGATTCCATGAAAATTCTGCGTGCCAAGGGAAGAGCAGGGGCAGCATCACGGGATGGCTTGGCTCAGAGAGCATCTCAGAAGATCACCTAGTTCCAAGCCTCCTGACATGGATCATGTAACACGTCCAGGAGAGGCAGTGACAGACTGGACAACAAACCGACTGCCAGAGCCAGGGGGAACTGGGACTTGGGCAGAGCTCTGTGGAATAAGGTTGGGACATGGACACTGAACAGATGAGGCACTGGGGTCAGAAACACATGGTGTGAGGACTCAAACCCAGGTTCAGTCCCTGTGCTTGTGTCCTCCTATGAGGATGGTCCTTCTAAAGGCTAACCCAGACAAATCAAGCACATGGACTCCAGTGGTCCTTAAGATGCTTCACTTGAAGCCTTTGGACACCTTGGTGAAGTGAATGGAAAAAGCTGAAGAGAGAGAAGAGAAAGAGCTGAGACAAAGCAGGAGGGGAGGAAAGAGGCCACAAAGCACATTGACTTCCTTAGGAAATCCAACCCTCACTGCACTGCCACCACCTGAGAGGAGCTGGAGTGAAGTGTCTTGTCTGCCTTGTCTACACAGGAGGTGACACCTGCCAACTGCTGCTTCAGTAATTCAAAGGGAAAAGGTCTGTGAGCTACGTCTGTGTGTGCTACGTGTCTAGACCCGTGTGGGCTTCCTGTTTCACTCCTCCTCCTCTTGGAGAACTTCACACAGACACACAATAAACAAACAAAAGTTGTGAAGCTGTGGATTAAAGAGCTATACAAATTTCAGCTATTCAACTCCCCAGAGTTCTACAATGTGCCACTCACACAATGTATGTACTCAATGAAACGTGAAGATGTATTTTATTGTCTTCCCTCACTGGGTAACTCAGGGCCTGCCCAACCTCACTCCCCCAGCTGAGCTCTGCCACTGCCTCTTCGCCACTTCTGCCGTGGAAATCTCTCTAAGGAAACTTCCAGTTCCTCTAAGCAAAGCTGGCCTCCACCACACCCAGAAAAACACTTGAGGAATTTTTGGGAGAGATTTCAGAATCAAACAGAAACTGTTCTAAGTCTGCAGTTTCGGGGAAGTTTTAAGTTCCTACAAAGCCCACGGCTGCGAGAGGCTCGAGGTTTCCTCTCAAAGAGCCCTTGTCCCAGTTCTGGGCTTGGCACAGAGGCTGTGCCAGGCCCTGCCAGGGTGCTGGGGCGTCAGGCCTGGGGGACCAGCCAGGGCACACAGTGCCCCACACTGCTCCCGAGGCACCGGGGAGGGCAGAACTGGCCACAGCAGTGCAGTGTCCCTGTCACCCACTGCCTGCAGTGCCAGCAGCACTGGGGCACAGCCTCCTCCTGCTCCCACCAGGGAACAGCCCAGAGGGATCAGCTCCTCATTTCTGTAGAAGAATTAATGCTGTTACTCACTGGAAATACAAAAGACAAGGCATGTTTACACCCTCAGTGTAATGAACTCACAGGGAGGAATTCCTTCCCAATATCCCAGGCTATTCCCCCTTATCCAAGGTTTCGAATGTCTCGAGAGGGAGACTCCATGCCCTCCCTGGACACCTGTTCCAGTGCTCTGCCACCTCCACGGAAAGAAGTTCTTCCCCATGCTGAGGTGCAACTTGTTGCATTTTCCATGCTATTTAGATGCCTAGCAGAGTTTAAGCTAAGCATGGACATGCTGTGAGTTAAACTTAGGGTGTTCACACAGGTATGAAACTGTTCACCTACTTGTAGAGAGGAGGAGCAATGTCTTCATGCAGAGATACTCCTCGTAGGAGACTTGAAGCCGTGAGAGCTCTCGGGCGACCATGAGCATGTGTTTGCATTGTTCATACATACACGGGAGGTTCATCCTCTGCCTGAGGGACAAAAGCAGAGATTACTGAGATACCCAGACATCCGAAGGTGCAAGTGTGGCTCTCCCCAGGCTGCCCTGGGCAGGGGGTGCAGAGGCACTGAGGAACTGCTCCGTGAGCTATGGCACAGCAAAGCGATGCTCCCTCGGCAGAGAGCAGAGCTGTCTGCCCTGGGCACACAGATGAACATTGGCCCAGAGCTCAGGACGAGGAGCCCCAGTGTGACAAAGGAGGTCTGTCTGCACCAGGGACCCACCAGCAAGCTCTGCTGTCCACAGCCAGCACCACAGTGCTGCACAACCTGACATCAAACCAGGCTCAGTCGCTGTGGAACAGAGTTATCCAAGCCTGGCAGGGCCGAAGGATTTCATCTGCCTAAGGAAACATGATGGTTTGCTACACTGGACCTGAGATTTCTCCAAGTCTTTCAACACATTTAACTCCCTACTAATAGCACTAACTTTCTGCAGCTTCCCAGTTTTCAAAGTGACTTTACACTCACATCGTTCCACGTCTGTAAGGCAATGACTAGCACTGCAATCAAATTTCATGACCTGTGAACTGCAATAATCAGGTTTCTAACCACAAATGGAAAGTCATGTTGACAACCAGAGGAAAATCTTGGAATCAGAATAACAAACATTATGTTTTTATCTGCCCCTTTCATTTTTTTCCCTAGTTTAATGAAACCTTGCACCAAGACATTCCTTTTATTTAGTACCTCATCACACCAATCCCCTCTACGTGTGCTGCTGCAGCTGGTTACTGTCAGTGTTGTGGAATTAGTTTTGGGTGGGAAATGAACAGATTAATTCTGAAGAGTGAGATAGATTTATGCTTTCTCATGGTATTTTTTGTAGAGGAGAGACAGGCAAAATAATCTGTTTCATAAGCAATGAGCACACAATCCCTCTGCAGGGATGTTAGAACTGTATTTTTCGTTAACGATGTGTCACCTCCCTAAGACATCACCTATTCAACATTGTAATCTGCAGACACAAAATGGGATCCCTGCGAAGTTAAGGGTAAGATTTAGCCATGAAATGACAATTCCTCCAAAGCTGCTATCAGTGTTCCATTCTCCCTCCATTAGCCCTGCAGGAGGATTATACAACATACCCTCACAGCATCCCAGGAAACCCTGAGTGGAAAGAAGCAGCCCCTGAGCATGAGTGGGAATTCTGGTGCGTTTTGAAAGACAGAAATGCAAACTCTGGGAACAGTACTAAACCAGACCAAGTACAAGTGTAAAGCCCCACCACTTCCAAATGCAGCTGGACAATCCCTCTGGTGGGACAGGACTACATGTGGCACTGCCCTGTGCCTACATGTGGGCACACACGAGCGCAGAAACGCTGCCCTTAGGTTGGCATTCCAAATCAAGGAGTCACAGCACGAGCACAGAGTGCACCTAAGGTAAAGCTGCATGAAACAGGAGTAAGGGCAATGTTGGGCCATGGGATGTTTCTCAGGGCACTTGACACAAAGCCACTATTTGGCCGGTTGGCAAACGCTCCCCTGACCTCTCGGGGCTGTATCAAAGGGCATCTCACATATTTCAAATTGAGTAATTCAAACACATTCTCTGACAGGGCTCAGCAGTTTTTCCTCCAGTAAAACTAGGCCCATTTCTGGGCAGAAGGTTAAAATGAACGTTATGAAATGGGCCAGCCTGGCTTTTGTTTCTGTCTGTAGGAGCAGCCACATCTACACGGCTCAGAGTCCATAGGAAGGCACAGAGACCTTGGGCCACGTGTGAACTGTAGGTGCCTGAAGAAGGGGCAGCCCCAGCCCCTGCCCTGAGCGAGGGGTTCTGTGTGCTGCCCACAGGGCAGCAGGGCCAGGCACAGCACGAGGAGGCTGAGTCACTGCCTGGCCCTGGCACAGCCGCTGCCAGACGTTCCCTCCAGGTCTCCTGGCCAGGGCACATGAGCTGCTCCCAGCAGGGATGGGGACCCAGCCAGGGGCAGAGCCTCGGGGCTCTCTCTCTCTTCTTGCCCAGGCTCCTGGTTCCCCTCCATGCTTTTCCAACCCCATGGATTCATTTGCCCACACATAAACCAGATATAATACTTCAACTCGGTGCTGTGCTTAGCTAATTCAACTAGACATTGTTCTCAGTGAGGACACCACACGCTGCCTGCTCAGCTGAAACTACCACAGACCCACACTGGGTTCCCACTAGAGCTCTGGGATAACCAGGACTGGCAATGCCAGGGAAGAGCTAAGGCCTGGCAGCTGCCTACACCCCATGGCAGCTTGGGAGCCACTGGGGCAGGAGGCAGAGCCTGGGATGGGCCCTGGGAGCTCCCTGGTGACACTGGCAAAGCTTCTGCTCCCTGCTGACATGCATAAATGCAGTCACATAACCCGAGACTCAACGAGCTGACTGACAGCAGTTATCACTGTGAAGTGATTCTGCTTTAGTGACTGCACATCTGGTCCATCACCTTGTGCTGCAAGTACCTGGTGCTCCTCTGCGCTAGTACCCAGCTCCAAAGGGAACACCCATGGGGCACTGGAGGTGTTCCCACACAGTCCAGAGCCCACGGAACAGCCACAGAACCAGTTAGGTTGGAAGGGACCACAGTGGGTCATCTGGTCCACCCCAGAGCACAGAGCTCAGGACTGTGGCTGAAACACATACGTGCTGGCTGTGGGGGATGCGTGTGCATGACAAAAGCACGTGATGGTTTTCAACACTGCTGTGAGTCACTTGGTTCAGCAAAGTCTGCGAAAGACTAAAACCCAGTAAACAAGATGCTGGTGTTGTGAGAACCAGATGACACCGACTCCACAAAATGAGTTCAGAAGAATGCTGGGGAAAAAAATCTGGGGAATAAGAGACCTGACAAAACACTGCTTACAAAACTGTAATCTCTTGACATTCTGTATGGCAGATCAGATTTGCTATAAGGACAAATGAGACCACAGAGGTGACCTCACACTGAGGAGCAGGATGAGCATATGCATCCAGAGTCAAAATCCCAAGGCCCAGGACTTCCAGGAACTTCCTTCTCAAGCTGGGCAGCAATTAAATGGCATTTGCTGCTTGATGAACACAACTGTGCTCGCTGTAATTTCGGGCACACTGTGACATACCCAGAGGCCAAAAGCTGATACGGCACCAGTGCCAGTTCCAGCAGGGCATGTTTTGACACACACTGGGGAAACAGTTATACAATACTGCAGAATCACAGGTTTAAACCATTTCCAAGTACTAAATGATGGCCTAAAGTCCAAGACTCATTAAGCTGCCAAACTTTTCACCAACTTGAAACGAGTTTTGTGTGTGTGTATATAAACCCACAGATATTGTGTACAGTGTTGCAGTGTTACAGTACAGACATAGCTCCATAAAGAATGAATAGGTTACAGACACAGAAGTGGAATAGCCAATAAATATTCCATTGTCAGGAGGAGACTGAGCTAAAGACTGAACTGGCAGCTTAAGACTTCAGAAGACCAGAATTTAATCCTCTTTCCCACTACAGACTGCATCAGCTAGTGGATCTTGCTACTCTGTCTAAGCAAGAAGTGACTATACCAAGATGATGCTGGACAGGGCTGGTGCAAGGATAAAGGCATGAAATGTTGATGCTGCTCAGATGCTTGAGCAGATACATGACATTATAGAAGGTCTAGCTGTTAAGTATTTTGTGGTTATGAAGTGCAACAGGACCAAAAGTATTAAGGCTGTGTCAAAAAATGGCAGTGGCATTGCCTCCGTCTTAGCACCAGAAAACAGAGACAGGAGCAAGATCCAATCACCTCAACAACCCCAAATTCCCTCTTTCCTTCCTCCACAGTTACTGCACAACACAAGCTTGGAAAAATGCAAGGAAAATGATGTGTGGTGCACGAAAAAAGGTGTCCAAACATTCCAGAAAATTCCACTTTTCTTGAAAATCGGTAACAAAGTTCAACAGGAACATTTACATCCATGGGGTTCTTCCACCTTGACTTTTGAGCCCTGTTTTAACCAGGCTCAGACACAAATGTTTAAGGGATCAGAAACAGCTAGAAACTGGCAGGGCCATGCCACCACTTCTACACACTCACCAGACAGAGCATTATGCAATTTGCCAAACTCTCCTCTCCATCCTAGACATATTTTTAGCTGTGACTGTTGTGGCTCTGACAAAACGAGTGACTCTAGTGAATGGTGCAGGAACAGTCACAATATGGAACGTTCAAGCACAAACACCTCCCACAAAAACTTCTGGATATAAATACACTTAATATCTCAATTACCTTCCTTGGGTTTGACTTAGTTAAAGCCCTAAGCAAGCTGCTGAAAGGCAAACAAGTTGCCAGAGAGAGGCTGCTCCATGCTCGGGTGACTCAGTGCCCCGAGCGCGGCGGCTCTTACTCACTCGTTAATGATCAGGTCTGGGGCGAAGCACAGCAGGTTGCCATTGGATTGCTTGTATGACCTCCAGCCTAGAGCAAAGGCCATCAGGAACATCCAGGAGTACTGCAGGAGGGTCATTTGGTCATCCAGGTGCAGATTGCGGAAACCTGGAGGAGTAGAAATTGGGGAGTGAAGGTGTCAGGTGAAAAAACCAACAAACGAAGGACAAATCTTGTCTGACTTGGAGAAGGGACAGGGTGTGGGCAGCACAACTGCTGTGTGATCAGTGAATGAGTACTGCAGGGGGGAAAAGGTGATGTGATCTTAAAAAGTCACAGTATCTCTGTGTGTGCTTCTCTGGCCCCGATGGTCAGTCAGATCCTAAAAGGCAACAGTTACATTTCTCATACTCTGTAATTCCTGGGCTGCCTTCCAAAAATAACAGGGTTTGTCACTCTTCATGAGAGCAGTTCACTAGACAACGAACTTAATGTCAAATTCTGATCCTATTCAACAACAATTGTGCACTGAACTTAGAGAATAAGCATTGCATAAGTTACCAGCACTAACTGCTTTGAGTCTCATGTGTCACATCAATAGAGGCAACAGAACAATGAGGGAATGGCTAAAATCTGACAAGTGATCCCTCCGAGGGGCTGAAAACACCAAGAGCTTCAGATTTGCAGCACGAGTTCCTGCTAGATCCTGCCCACAGTCAGGAGGAAACTCTTGTGCCACACTGAATCATTCTTGAAGCCTGAACTCGAGCTGATTTTATCAAACTTTATTAAGCATCTGACATCTAAAGAGCTCATAGCATCTAAAAAGCTGCTTCCTGAGGATGTGCCAACAGACAGGGGAGGAATATGTAACAAACTTGGTGTGTCTCACAGCTCCAGACAGCTCCTGGTTTTGGGGGCAGCAGGGACGACCAGTTACTGCTTCGAAAACACAGGCAGAGGGTTTTGAAGTGGTTCCAATTTACTGGGCCAAACCTTGCAATCTGTGCTCAAACCCTGCTCAGGAAAAGGCTATTTTGAAATCCCGAGTAAGGGGCCTGGCAGGGAGTGCTGGCTGGTGACAGCCTGGCTGGTGAGGCACAACCAGGAGCAGGATCCACAAATTAAACACTCTGAGGAACCACCTCAGCAAACAAAGGAGGGGAGATAAGAATGATAAGAGTAGCTGCTATTAATGCAGTTATTAAAGAGGGGATTGGCATTTTCATTGAGAGCATATGCTGTAACCTGAAGGGTTTGGCTAATTAGGGAAACTTCAGCAGAGATAATGAACATGGAAGTGTTTGATGAAGTGGTATCTAAATTCGGGTTTGGGAATACCAGATGGTCTCCCAAGGACCTGTCCCAGAAGGAAGTGTGTGAGGTTTGGGAATACCAGACGGTCTCCTAAGGACCTGTCCCAGAAGGAAGTGTGTGCATGTGAACCTCTCCTAGAGGAAACTGAGCTAATCCAGAGTAACTGCCCAGTGTCAGGAGCCCTGACAGAATCATCCAGCTTGGAAAACACCTCTGAGGTCGTCAAGCCCAACCCCTGACTGATCTCCACCTTGCCAGCTAGGAGAGACACACACCTCTGCAGTCCCAGCTCTGCTGGACACAGATACACTTGAGTTTTCCAGCCTTTCTTTCCCACTGCTAATTTATTTCCTCTGCTCAAAGCAAAGCTGTTATGACTCATAAATCTCATTATCAGACTTTCTTCTTTTTTTCCCTCTTTGGCAGACCTGTTCTGTGATGTTATTTTTGGGCAACGCATGCGTCACAGAGGTGTTTTTGCCAGGGTTTCTGAGAACAGGTAGCTAACAGCACTGACAGGAGTGAGAGGGAGATAAACACTGGTCTTTGTTCTGCAGGAATAAACAGATCTTCAGCTTTCCTTGGCCCTGGCCTCTCCCCAGGCAGATGCCATGTGCTATGGCCAAGGCTGAGATCCGACATCACTTCTTCCGTGTCTAACTGTGTCTTCAGGTGGGAGCCAAAACAGCAACAAACCTCCCTGATCCCCAGGTAAGAGTCAGTCTAACCATGTAGCTACAGAGCTGGAGAGAAAATGAACATCTTGACCTCCACCCTGGAACTGGTGCTCAAACACCTGCTCCCAGTCAGGAAAAAACTGCAGATACTGAGAGGGAGTAAGAACCACCCATGAACACAGAGCCAGATGAGCCATCACAGCAGCACCAGTGTCTGAAACAGAACCTCACTGCTAAAAATAGCCAAGAAATAATGATCTACTGCTCCAAGAAGCTGTGGCTGCTCCATCCCTGAGATGGTGTTCCGGGCCAGGTTGGATGGGGCTTGGAGCAGCCTGAGCTGGTGGAAGGTGTCCCTGCCCATGGCAGGGGTGGGATGAGATGAGCTTTAAGGTCCTTCCCAACCCAAACTATCCTGTGATTCTAGGAGGTGGAGATTAAGCTAATAAAAACAGATCTCTGTATTAGTTCTAAATCAAATCTCCATTTTAATATACTTTTTAACCTTCAGTGGCCAAAGTGTTCAAGCAAAATAGCATAATTTGTGGCAAATAAATTTTTACATCTGCATTTTGTTCTGCTTTTCTACTCCAGAAGTCTTTGAGACATGAGCAAGCCCAGTTATCACTAACCCTTCACCTGACCAGCTTTGAAGGACACCCAATATGAAGACTTTAATGACAACGAGAAGACTACACTGTGTAATGTCTGTGCCTTACCTGGGATTGCCTTTGCCCACTTGACTGCAGCCACCACCTGCCTTCCTCCCAGCATGTTGAGGGTGGAGAGGATCCTCCAGCTGGAGTCGGGCAGTGTGCTGTCATAGCCTGAGTACAGCACCTCGGGCTCGATCACCTCCAGCAGCGACACCAGCGTCGGCGTCAGCTGCGGCAGCGACGCGGGGACGATGCTCTTGTTCCCGGCGGCCTCGGCCCCGTCCCGGCTGCCCGTGGCACTCGCCTGCTGCAGCCCTTTGATCTTCTTCTTTGTTTTCCGAGCTGGGAAAGGTTGGGGAAGTCACAGGTGAGACAATGGAAAGTGACAGCACAGCGATGAACAGGTGCCAGAGGAAACGCTGCTTTCCTCCCCCTGCAGCTGGGCCTGGCCATGGAACCCTGCACAGCAGTTGGCCATAAAGGAAAACATTCCTCATGAATTCTAGCTGGACTTCCAATGAAATTAAGCTCCTTTTAGGCTTTAATGAAAGTCACGTTTCTGTCAATGTTTCCAAGTGTTCAGCAATGTCTGCAGGTACCTTACAAGGCTGATCCTAAAACATGTAATATTTCTAATATCCTTAGATAGTAGAAAACAGTTCTTCCCCCAGAGGTGTTTGGGCACTGAACAGCTCCCCAGGGCAGTGGGCACAGCCCCAAGGCTGACAGAGCTCCAGGAGTGTTTGGCCAATGCTCTCAGGCTCAGGGTTGGTTTTTGGGGTGTCCCGAGCAGGAGTTGGACTGATGATCCCTGTGGATCCCTCCCAGCTCAGGACATTCTGTGAACACAAGGCCCAGTCCTACCACTGGAAACACTTGCAGGACTGCACACTTTAAATATTCCTTAAAATATTAAGTATAGAAACCAGGCAAAAGAAAGTAAAACAGTAGATTTAATGGGTAAGAAGTTGCTGGCTCCCTGGAGCCAGGGAAAACAGCTTTTTGTTCAAATGCTGGGCAGGAGGAGGTTTCTCCCTTGCCAGCTCCCTCACACATAAATCACTGCTGCACAATTAAACCATAAACCTCATTCACCAAATAAATAAAACATCACACAGAGATGTTAACTGCAAACTACAAAAAGTTGGAGCAACAATTTTATTAGCATCTTGTCCCTAATGGAGTCTCCTCCTGGTCTCAGGCAGCCCACACGGGATGTGCTGCCCAACGGAGACCAAACGGAACGAGTTCTGTCCCTGTGTGTCTCAGCTAATGAATTGGTTCTGTCCTGGCACTTCCGAGATAAATCAGGAGCCCATAAAAGCACCACGTAATGTGGTTTCACATGCAGAGTTCCTCCTGACCTACTCAGACTCTCTCAGCATCCCAAAGGCACCACACGTGAATCCCCTCCTGGCCCTGCTTCCCCCTCTGGCTACGACGGAGCCTTCAGGGACCAACTGCCAAAGACAAGGAATCCTCTATGGACCTTGTAGAATTTCCACTTTCCCAAAGTTTTGTGGACTGGCCACACGTGCCAAGCCTGCTGTTGGGGAATAGCAACAGCTCTTTCCTTGGAGCAAAGAGCTGCTTGTTATTCTCATCCCAGTTATGGAATGGCTGCTCAAAGCTCCTTTCCACCTCCTGGTGTTTTCTGCCCCATTATCCGTGTTCTGCAGAGCAAATGAACTGCTTTGACTTAAATTTAGAAGCACATGCCCTCAGCTTCCTGCAGACACCTGGATGGAGCATCTCCAGCCCAGAAAGTCTGATAAAATTATAATCAAAATAAACAGATCTGATAGGACAAATTATTAGGCAAGAATTTTTTTAGGCTGTTCCTGGCCCTGACGTAGATCTATAGTTGTAACTCACCGAAAAATAAAAGGTAGAGATAATGTATTTCCTTCTAATTTGCTTTCAGATATAAAAAGCCCACAAATTAGGCCCAGCTCCTGAGGGCATGTTGCAGGAGACAACCCACGCAGGTAAACTCAGCATGGATGGAAAAGCATCCAAGATTTTCTGTCGAAAACAAACAAATCCCCCCAGACCCCAACCCCCTGTGGTTTGGCATCCTCTTCCCTGCCCGGAGGGCAGATGGTCTGTGCACCTGGGCCAGGTGGGGGATGGACCTGCCCACCACCAGCTCCACCGAGACACCTTCCTTCCAAACTGGGATCCACAGCGGCCCCACGGCACTCAGGGCAGGGCAAGGAACGGTGTCAGAAAGAAAAAACCATCCTTCAAAAAATGGGAATAAATTCCAACTGAAGAGTGCAGAAAAACCCCATAAATTGCCAAGTTTAACTGTAAAATGCAGCATGAAAAGCCAAAAAAATTATGGGATGATTTTTACAGGCATAAAACCTAACAATAAATCTTTTCTTCCAGCACATCACAAAGAAAAGAGCTGCCAAGGAACACCAATTAGTGGTGGGAGCGGAAATGAGAGCTCAAGGAAATAAAGGCTGTAGTACAAAATATCATTATGCTGCTGTGTAAATCTCTGGTACCTGCAAGCTTGAGAGTCTGATGGTTTTCCAGCCCCCTACGCCCAAAAACACACACAAGAGGAAACAGAAAGTTCCAGAAGAGGGTGATAAGTAGGGCCAAAGGGAGGACTGATGGACCTGGTGGTCCTGGAGGTCTTTTCCAACCTTAATGGTTCCATGACAAAAAGGATTAAGAGAAACTTATCAAGTTAGATTTTTCTAGGGTGGAAGGAGCCACTTTTACGTTCAGGACAAGAGCAGGTCAGAATGAAATCATGGCAGATTCCATGTATTTATTTACTTATTTAAGAATAAATTAGTCTTCTACCCAATACTTCACAGGGAAATTCACTGCAGGTATTAAAACCAAGAGATACCCCAAGTGTGGCTGGGTGGGTTGAAGCCCAGCAGCAGGTCAGGGGAGTGCAAAGGGCCCAGGGTGGATATTGGGGTCTCGTTCGGTCACCCCCTGGTTTGCTGTGACCATGACTGATGCACTGAGGATGCAGCTGGAGACTCTTCAGAGAGAAATTATTGTTCAAAAAGTATTCAAATGTAATTCTCTTTTAAGCAACAGTAATTCCTGACCTGTGACCATCACACAGATGAGATAAAAGAAACTGGTTTTTGGTCTCTCCTGCCCTTTGTGCTGTCTCCCAGTTTGCTTTTCTGCACCACCAATTCCCATCTGTTCAGAGTTGTCCCATAAATCCTCGTTCTCAGGGTGTTTTTCACCCTTTCACACTACTCCAGGTTCTTCCAGTTTTGTGTTGCTGACTTTCAAGATTCCTTTTCCCTCTCAGCCCTAAAAGCTTCCCCCACCTCCTTCTCCAACAACTTACATAACAGCATCCATCCTCCAAAACCTCACTATTCTCTGGGATTCTCTGTGCCAGAACTCAGACAAACTGCACTGGAAAGGGGCCAACCTCCATGGGGAGAAATGGCAAATATCTGACATCATTCCATTTCATTTTCTCTGCTGCACAAAGGCGACTCAGCATGTCAGGGCCAGGCTGGATGGGGCTGGTGGGAGGTGTCCTGCCCATGGCAGGGGTGGAACGAGATATCTTTAGGGTTCCTTCCAACCCAAGCCAGTCTGGAATTCTGGTATTCCATTCCCTAGAGCCCGAGACAGATATTAGAGTCTACTGAAATTGCTGCAAGGGAAAGGCTCACTGTGAGAGGACTATGCCTTGCAGTTAGAGTGCTGCATCTTACCCCTAGAGCACCAAACCTTCCAAGTGCCTTTTCATATAGACAAATTATTAATATCATGGATGTATTTTGAGAACAACTGTGAAGAGAAAAAACTGAAGCAAGCCTTAAACCAAAAAGAATTTTTTTCCACCTCGAAACAGAAACTGAGGGTTTGGCACTGTTTAAACTGTCTTCAGGTTTTGCTGTTCCCTGTACCTGCCCCTGGCCACACCAGCCCAGCAGGGCAAGGACCCTCAGACACCGTGAGCAGACCAAAGGTCTGTGCTCCTGTCACCTCTGCAGCATGAGCTCCAGCCCCATGGAAGTGTCCAAAGCCCAACTCCAGCTCCTGGGAGACACTCCCTCACAGCCTCATGTCCTTTAGGGGTTTATTTTAGAACCCACTGTTGTAGATTTTGGCTGTACCCTCCTGTCCTGTGCAGGGATCATGGCAACACCTCAACAAACCAAGTAGCAACATCCCTTCTCCACCCTGAGGGAGGGACACCCTGTAAGAGTGTCACAGAGCACGTCAGACCCTTGGGTTTGTGCCCTCTGCTCTGAAGGAAGGAGCAGAGAGGCACCTGCAGCACACAGAACTGGTGCTGTGTCCTCCTGAGAGAGCTGGAAGCAGAAGAGGCAGAAAGGATGTGCTAACATGGGCTCCAACATGTGGCTCATGTATCCCTTTCCCTTAATTCACCACTCACATCTTACCAAAGGATATTATCACTGACTGAAATGAAATTCTGTTCATCCTTGCAGCTGACAAATACGTTTCTGACATTTTTATTCTGCCTGACAATTGTGATTACACAAGTATCGCCGGGATAACTGCGCTGGGAAGTGCTGCATTAATCTCTGCAGCTCAGGGAAAAATAGCAAGTGTAAAACGGAGCTGACACTAATAAAAGTGTTTTATGCTGTTTTACAACTGCTGCTAAATCTCTGGTTGATGTGGCCTTCAGATTCTCAAAAGCCAGAACTGATATGCAGTTCATTTAACCTGCCTTTTCTAGAGAGATTTTGACAGATATTTAAGAAGGATCCACAGCATGAACAAAACCACTTCAAGTTTCTTCAGGCTGAAGATGCAATCCCCACGGATGTCCCTCTCCTGTGTGGTGTTAGTGTCAGGTCCCTTAGTGAGGATGGGCAGGTCACACACCTTCCCACAGGTCTTACACTTCACTCTGGGTGTTCTCTGGGAGTTCTGCTGTCTATGCAGTGAAAAAGCAATGAGATATATGTGCTGACAGGAATAAAAAAATCACCCTGGTTTGTGTGCATGACTCACTTCTGCTGAACACACCGAGAGACAGAGCACAGAGAGGAGAAATTTTAGCACCGAACCCTCCTGCCTCTCATTAAACTGCTCATAAAATGCAGTCCTTGCTTTTAACATATTCCAGTGCTGCTCAGCTTCACCAGCAGCCCGAGCTGTGCTGGGTGGGATTCCAGCACTAGAGAGATGAGCAGAGGTGACTCACCTTCGAGGTTCATGCCAGCCTGCAGACACTTGCGGTAGCGACACGCTGGGCAGTTCTTCCTCCGGATCTTGTCGATGATGCAGTCGTTCCTCCCTGCACACAGGTAGTTGTGCTGCCCTGGGAGCACAAACACAAACACAACACCCATGAGCTCCCTGGCCACAGCAGAGGATGAAGCCATTCATCCCTTCAGGACCCTCAAGGAGTCAGGATGATGCAAAACCTTTGCTCACTGTGCTGCACGTCTCGCAAAAATGATGTCACAGTGTGTTAAGTGGTTAAATGGAGCTTAGGGATCATCCAGCCCCAACCCCTGCCCTGGGCAGGGACACCTCCCACCAGAGCAGGTTACTCAAGGCTCCATCCAACCTGGAATGAACACTGCCAGGGTTGGGGCAGCCACAGCCTCCCTGAGCAACCTGGGCCAGTATCTCACCACCCTCACAGGGAAAACTTCTGCCTAAAATCTAATCTCAATTTCCCTCCTTCAATTTCTCCCCACTCCTCCTTGTGCTGTCCCTGCAGCTCCTAACACAGATCCCTCTGCAGCTTCCCTGGAGCCCCTTCAGCTCCTGGACGGGGCTCTGAGGTCTCCACACAACCTTCTCTTCTCCAGACTGAACAGCCCCAACCCTCTCAGCCTGTCAATCCCAGTATCCATCTGATTTCAGGCATCCAAACACATTTTCAGGCACTGGGATATTGCCCAGGGAGGTGGTCGAGTCACCATCCCTGGAGGAGTTTAGGAGGGGTCTGGATCTGGTGCTGGAGGATCTGGTTTAGGGTTTAGGGGTTACAGCAGTGACAGATTAATGGTTGGGCTTGATGTCTTAGAGTTCTCCTCCAAGCTTGATGGTTCAATGGTTTCTCATATTTAGACCCCCAAAGCCAATGAATTTAGGTAGAAATCCTATTTTCTATTTGTTAACATCAGGCAACCTCTATTTTTAAAGCTATTTTCTCTTACATTTACTGAAGCTTCTACAGCAGGTTTCCCATTTTCCTAAACAGTTTGACAAGAGACATAAATAACGTTCACAAACACATTCTGAAAACATTCATAGAAAGATTTCTACAGAGAGAGACACAGTTTCAGCGGTTTGGAAGTCAGGAAACCTCCTTGTTTCTCTTCAATCTGATCTGGACAAACCAAGTTCTCTGACTTTCTGGATCCAGAGATTCAGAGCAAAACTGACCCTAAAACACTACACGAAGTAACAATTTCTTGGCTGCTCAAGGCAAGGCAACAGGAGAGGAATATCTGTTCTTAATCATTTGAATTAAATGAACAAATGTCTCAACATAACTTACTCCGAGAAAGGTAGTGCTAACAGACAGATCCTTCTCCCAGACAGGGATTAGGAGGCACATTTCTTTGGGGAGCAGAAAGCTGCAGTTTTTTACAGCTTTTACACCATATTGCAAAGTCTTGACAGTAAAATACTGTGAGAAACAAAAGCATTTTCCAAAGTCTGAGTGATTAACAACAGAGTCCAAGAGTCTTCCCACAGAAAAACAGCTTGGGGAAGGAATTTGTTTCAAGTCAGCTGTGAAAATTGTGGGCATGCAGAGCCCATTCCTAGGGCTTTGGTCAAACTTCTCCCACAAAGTGTCTCCAGTTGATACTCCAAGGAGGACCTCAATATTTTTCTGAATGAACGCCCTACCTTTCCATTTCGGGCAGAGGAGCCTTCCTGACCCTCGCATAGACTCTGTGTTTAATTAACTCAGACAACAGATCCTCAACTCACCATTGCCATTAGCATCCTAACCCACCTAACCAAACTCAGCTCTACACACACGAGGTACAAACCAATGGCAGCACTGCAGTGGAGCACAGACCACTATTCCCTGTCCCTCAATGCTGTGGTGAGACCACAGCTTCACTCATCTATACAGATCCTTCAGGTGAAGATTTTCCTGACCTGTTCCATTTCATTCCTGACAAAGCCTCCTCTCCTCACTGGTTTCTTGTATTTACTGCTTACCTACTCCTGCCTTTCCTAGGGGCAAACGACACTGTTAATTTGTATGACCTTGTATTAAAGCCTTCTTGTCACATGCACATCTTGTGGGAAAACAAAGGGAAGCTGATGCTTCTTGTCTGACATGCCAGTAGCCAGATGGAACGTGCTTCACTGTTTTTTGCTGCTCCAAACCCAAAGACACTACACAAATACCCTGGCAGAAACCAGTAGTGAGCCAATGGAGATGTCTCCAAGGATTTGGGGCACACAGGGTGGCCACTGGCACTGGGGCTGTGACACACTACGGCACTCCAGGACTCTGCTCGTTTGGGCACATTGGCCTATAAAAGGTTGGGAATTGCAGACACAGGACTTTGGAAGATGGAACTAAAAATGCTGACGAACCAGGACTGTGTGGAGCACAGCAGGAGGGAGAGGAGCTGGGGGATCTGCGGGGAGGGAGGTGTGAGGACCTGCAGCAAGGCAAGGATGAGGAGGAGGGAAGAGTGGAGAGGATCTGGGTTGGTGTGTTGGGTGATGTGCTGGGAGGTGAATGGAGCTGGTTCTGCCACCAGAGACACTCAGTCACCAGGGCTCTGGGCCCCGAAGCACCACGAAAATGAGAGCTGACCCAGATGTCTCTGGGTGCCTGAAAAGCTGTTTGGGTGAAGAGCTGCATAAACACAGTGATGTCCCACCTCCATCCTTCCTCTCCTCCAGTTCTACTCTCTGCTGACAGAAACACACCTCATATCTACTTTCTAGACACTGACACTTTCAGTTTCTGTGACTATTTCTGTCACAGCACATGGGCCTGGAGGCAAAGGTGGAAAAAAGGGCCTTGGCTGAGGGCTGGGCAAGCAGTGTGCAGAGTCAGCTCGATCTGAGCACTAACAGGTGCCTGGCAGCTATCAAAGACAAGGATGGTGCAGAACCAAATTCTTTGTACATGTGGTCCTAGTAAGAAAAATGCCTATAAAAGGCAAAAGCAAATTATTTGCTCCTTGAAGTGAGTACTAGAACCAACAGATCCTGGAAGGTCCCCTGAAAACATCTGTGCTATCGAATGGAAGGATTAAGGGTGCTCAGTCCTTGGAGCTATGGTCAACGAGGTGGTGCTTGGTCCAAGGATGGACTTGATGACCTTGGAGGTCTTTTCCAACCTGAATGATTCTGTGAAGGGTGGGGAAAATTTGTGGAACAATCAAAATGGAAGCAGAGGTAAATCCTGAGGAACAGACTGTCATACTTCAGCTACAAGTCTGCTTTCATTTTGATACAATAATTAATCTAGAATAATTATATATTATGTACTTACAATAGTTAATGCATAATACTCTGATTAATATCAGTCACTGGGTTGATTCCTTCCTGTATCAACAGTCCTATGATTTATTTAAGCTCGAGAACAGGCAAATCCATGGTTATGCCACATTGCAGCTGCCATATAATATGTCCTCAGAGGGATCTCCAGTGACCTCATTTAAACCAAAGGTCCAGATGATTCTCTGCTTCAAACAAAGTGCTTTGCACTCCAGCCTTGTTAGACTACAGAGCAGCTTCAGCTGATGTCCCTCCCCCTTGTGACTCGCAAAACTGCGACATGAACTTGACTTTCCCAATCCCTCTGACTTCCAGAGCTCCCCATGGCACCCAGGGAGCTGGGAGCAGGGGGAAGTGCTGCTCCTGAAGCCCAAGAGGTGGTTTGTCCCTGCCAAACAGCCTTCCCTCTCCTCCAGTGACACCCAACGTGCAGAGGTGCCAGCGAAAGCGAGTCTGGCTGCGCGGGCTGTGCGAGGAGGGCACGAGACAGGAGTGTCTGTAAGGCTGTAACCAAGAACTACTCTGTCAGACGTGAGGGATCACATCCTGTCAGAGACACTGGGAATATGCTCCAGCTTCTCTGCATCTGACACTGAGGCAAAGTCAGACTTTGAGGTACAACCTAGTCGATGACAAAGTGGCTACTGATGCAGCCCCAAATGACACATCCCTTCTGCTGCACACACTGCAGTCACAGTGCCAGTGCCATCCCCTCTAGCTCCCAGGCTGATGTTCTCCCTGTGATTAGAGAGAAATCTCGATGCTCCAAACCCACACATGTCCCTGGTACCCAGTTACCCTGCAGCTAACACACAGGGGCATGGCTGGATTTAAACAACATTGCAGGCAGAAAAAACTGCCATAACCTCACACCCAACAGATCAACCAACTCTATGTACAAACTTCTAGACAAACTGGCTAACCTGAAACTGGAACCCCACAACCTTTACAGGTCTAATGCACACAGACCAACATCTGTATAAAAAGGGACAAAGGAACAAAAACAACAGAGAAATAAAATGAAAGAGCCGAAAGCCAAGACAACAATAAATCCTTTTCCCAGGAGTGAATGGGAGCATTTTTCCAGTGTGAATGGAATCCATGCTCCAGATAATGCACCATTATCACTGAGATGTACTGTGACAACATCAGTGATCTAATGGATGGGATGTTCCAGTAGGATCCTAGCAAAACCAGGGGTCCCAGTAAGATTCTGTGTGCTGGGTTTGAATGTGGATGATCTGCCCAGGGATTTTCTCTCTCTAAACTCATCAAAGCATGTCCTACCTTCCACTGCCCTTTTGAAGAACACCTTGCAGCTGCCACACGTCAGGACACCATAGTGGCACCCAGAGGCCTCGTCGGAGCACACCAGGCAGAGCTTGGGAGGTGGTCCCGTGGTTGCTGAGGTTGTGGATGGAGAGGAGCTTACATCTGATCGCATCCCAGGGCTGAAACAAAGCAGAAAACACTTTCCATTAAGGTCCATGGCATAGAGGCAAACCCAGGGTCTTCACCTGCCAGGAATGGCTTGTCCTTGCCCCCAGTGTGAATGTGATGCATGGGAAGTGCACCAGACTGGAACAGTTCAAGGAGGAATTCTGTGCAGCCCAAGCAGAGCTGTATGGATCCTTCCCAGCCTGTTTGGCTGGGTCGGGATTCCTTCCCTTATACATTTCCTCAGCCAAGTTTCTTGCACAATTACCCCAGCCTTCCAAACTGACTCCTGAAACAAGCTGCCACCCCATGCTGTTTCCATTACTGCTGCATTCCCTTCAGCCTGCAGAGCAGCTCCATTTCCACCAGCACCATCGAGTTCTCTACTGGGATGCTCTGAAGCAAGACACTGCAAACTGGGCCATACACTGATACATATTCACAGTAGTAAATTATCATTTCACCCCAGCAGTCTAGGAAAAGAATATACACTCCTGTCTCAGGCTCTGGTTTTCCACAGCACAGACACAAACGAAGGGTTAGCTTGTTAGGGGGAAAAAATCCCTATTAGAACAACAAACAATCCATCATAATCTCCCTGGAGCTGCTCCTAATCCTCAGGGCTGACCCAGCAGTGCTGGGACAGAGTTCAGAGGTTGATCTAAGGTGTAACCTTACCGCCCCAGCCCAGCACTGCCTGCTGGAGGCTGCCCCACACCTCCTCAGGTGTTTATCCACCTCCACACGAGGAAGGACTTAAAATCATGGAACCACAAGGGCTGGAGGAGACCTCTAAGATCATCAAGCCCAACCATTAACCTGTCACTGCTGTAAGCCCTAAACCAGATCCTCCAGTGCCACATCCAGATATCTCTTAAATACCTCAAGGGATGGTGACTCCATCACCTTCCTGGGCAATATTCCAGTGCCTGAAACTCCTTTCCATGGAGGTGCAGAGCATCAAACAGGTGCCCAGGGAGATTGTGGAGTCTCCCTCTCCGGAGACATTCAGAACCCACCTAGATGTGTTCCTGTGTCACCTGCTCTAGGTGACCCTGCCTGGGCAGGGGTTGGACTGGATGTTCTCCAGGGGTCCCTTCCGACCCCAAGCGTTCTGTGATTTCCAACAAAGTTTTAAACTCCTAAAAGGCAAATTCTGTGCTGTCTGCTTCACTTGCAGTGATTTCACAGGAAATCTTGCTCGCCAGGGTTCCAGGCACCCTCCAGATGAAGCTAGAAAAATGACACTTTTTTTTAAGGCTTTGGTGCCTTTCCTTGGAAACGCTCCAGACCATCCACGTTCCCCAATGTGGGCTTGACATTCATATGTGGGTTGACTTTTGCATGGAAAATTCCTTTTCCTCTCCTCAAGAAAGTCTGACCAGATTTGGTCACATTTAAAAAACCCACAGTTCTCAAACGTTCACACAACCTTTAAAATTCCAGCCCAAATTAGAACATTCCAACACCTGGGAGGCTCAGCTTTTGAACAGGTCCATATGTCCCATTCCTGGAGCACCTGAGAAATGGCCCATGCAGCGATTCAAAGGACTTGGCCATTATGTTTGCTCTGACCAAGAGGGTTTAGGCAATAAAAGCAGACAAGGAGCAGATATCCTCCCACTTAAATACAGAGGGGTCAAAGTCAAACTAGAATAAATGTGTCAATGAAGTCCTCACTTTGACAAATATGGAACCACAGGGCAGAGAAAGAGGAAAATTATTTGTGTGAGGGAGAAAAATGAGACAGCACAGGCACATGGAGGCGTAAGGTACGTGTAAGGCCCCTAAAACCAGTGTCTGAGCTGGGGAGCAGCTGAGCTGTGTCTCAGCCAGAGCAGGGAGGGCTGAGCAGCAAAGTAAACACCAGGCAGCAACACAGCAACACGTGGGAACAGCAGTGGGAAGAGGAGAGCAGAACAAGGCCAGAACGAGGGTGCAAAGGCCTCAGTAGAAAGGGTTGGCAGTGAGAATGAAGGAGAATGAGTCAACCTTGAGGAAACAGGGAAGAAAAAGGCCCCCCTTTTCCCTAAGGAAAGAATGCTTCTTTCCAGAACTTGGGAAAGAGCTCAAATCCGTCACGTTGCTCCTCTGTGCTCAGAAAGTATGTGTGGAATGCTGCAACACATCTTTATGACTCTAGCAAGGGGCTGACACCCAGCAGCAGCTCGTCCCTCAGCTGAGCTGGCTGTCACCGATGGACTGTGTCCCTGTTTATGAGCCACGGGATGGCTTCTCTGGGTTTGTCTTCTTTCAAAGCACAGCAAGCTCTAATAGGGCCCTCAGTTGCACAATCCAGCAGGCAGCATCCAGGCGAAGGCAGAATGTAATTCAACCCAGTTCCATCTATTTGATGTCCTTACAAACATGCATCTTTAATTACACCCTCATCCTGATTTCCACCCGGCATGCCTGCCTTCCTCAAGTGCAGGGACCTCTAGGAATGAGCACTGGAAGGATGGAGCTGCCACTGCACAGTCTCCTCTGGCCAGGAATCAGCAGGGAGAAGGTCATGGCTGTGGATCTGCAGGAGGAGAAACCTCCTGGTGAAGGGAGCTGAGGAGTCGAATCCACTCCTGCCTCTTATCACAAAGTTGTATATGATGGTATTCGGTTAATTAGGATGGGATTAGGTTGTTTATGAATCAATTCTTTACCACAAGAGTAGTAAGGCACTGGCACAGGTTGCCCATAGAGGTTGTGGCTGTGTTCCAGGCCAGGTTGGATAGGACATGGAGCAACCTGGGCTAGTGGAAGGTGTTCCTGCCCATGGCAGGGGGTGAGATAGATGAGCTCTGAGGTCCTTCCAACCCAGATCAGTTTGATTCTACAACACAAAGCAGCCTTCCCAGTGATCCTGCCTTCCCAACACACACACCTTGAGCCCAGCACAGCCTCGAGCCAACGGAGCTGTGCTCTGAGCTCAGCACTGCCCAACTCCTCTGGCTCGAGACACTGGAACTGGTGCCCATCCCCACCACAGACTGGGCACATCCTGCACAGTATGGGTGCTCCTGCCCTTCCCAGCTCATCCCAGACTGAGTCCTGCCCAGAGAGGTCTCTGTGCCCACTGGATGGACGGAGCAGATCCCACCACTGCCAGAGCTGCTCAGGAGAGCCACAGATGCTGTGCTGGCTCACCCTGTGGGGCTCCAGGCAGGACTACTGTTCCGTGGAGATTTCAGAAGGGATCCAGAGATGAGAGGGCAACCTCAGGCTTAAGAGCCATACCTGGTTCTTTGCTCCCTCGCAGCTTTCCTGTCTAAGCAGACAAAAAATGTTGATCTCACAGCTTTGCTTCCTTTCATGTGATACAGATGTTACTTTCTTCTACAGTTTGGTTTGTTGTGGTGTCTTTTTTTAGCTCTCTTCCCCATCGTAGCAATCAATTTAGAGAAAGGAATTAAATTGTTTTTCCAGTTTGTAGCGTTGCATGCAAAAAACCCCAACCAGAAACATGAACACTGACCTCAAAACCAACCAACCCTACTGCAAACAGTCACCACTGCCCAGCCAAGAGCTGCTCTCAGTGGCCTTGTTTTCTCTAAGTTTTAGCCCAGTAGCTTCATTTCTTACCCTAGAAATCCAGATTAAACACGGGAGTGCAGGCTGGGAGCTGGGAGCTTGAATAAGGAGCACAGAACTCGAACACTTCTCTTCATTAAAATGATTAAAACCAGAGAAAGATGGAAACATCTTTCTATGTATAGTTTTGAAGACAGCTAATTTGGCTGCAAAAATAAACTCCTTTATACCTCTCCAACCTCTGACAAAAGCATTTTTAAGGAGACATTCATCAGCTGTCAGGGAAACCATGGCAGTGCCAAACATGTTCCACTGAAACTTTTCAATCACCTTTAATTTTTAAACAGGGCTCATTTTCTGTACCAGCACCACAGAAGACGTAGCACAAGAGAGACAACAGATGATATGACTTAGAAAACTAAAAATAAATGATTACATTGATTAATACAGCAGTAGCCAGCAATCCAATCCGGGCTCCTGGAATACCTTCCAGCCTGGCTGCATCAGATAAGGGCAATATTTACTAACTGTGTGGAGAGCTGCCAGGCTGCGACAGCCCCTGGTGTGTCACAGCTCTGCTTCCCCGAGACGGGGCCAGGAGGGAGCACAGGGAGAGCCACAGCGAACCAGACTGATAGGAATCTTTTACCTACAGAGTTAGAGAGCAAGACAAACAACCACTTCCGAAGGAAGAGGGAAGGCAGAGAAATTATACACTGAGACAATGTAATGATAGAAAAACTGCCTTTCAGGATCTGCAGAAATGGTTTTAAACACAGCAAAACCCTAATGAACTGTTAGCTAAACTGTTACAGTCTTGCCTAGATAAAAGACAAAGCCAAGCAGCATAGATGAGAGAGGGGAAAAAATATCACAATTTTAAGGGTTCCAAATTGCAAAGACTTTCATTAAATTTTATTTTGGGAGACAAGGTGTTGTTTGGTTGAGGCTACTGAGCTCCAGTCCCACATACTTTCAGAAATTATTCATATACAGCCTCATTTTATTCTTTTCTATAGATGCATTTATTGTTTCCAGTCAAGGAAACATAGAGAGGCAAAATGGAAAGCCTTAACCGAGGTGGGGTGGGAAATGGAAAGCCTTAATGAAGGGGGGAATTTTGGGAGACAAGGTGTTGTTTGGTTGAGGCTACTGAGCTCCAGTCCCACATACTTTCAGAAATTATTCATATACAGCCTCATTTTATTCTTTTCTATAGATGCATTTATTGTTTCCAGTCAAGGAAACATAGAGAGGCAAAATGGAAAGCCTTAACCGAGGTGGGGTGGGAAATGGAAAGCCTTAATGAAGGGGGGAATGGAAAGCCTTAATGTAATGAGGAATGGAAAGCCTTCCCGGAGATGCAGCCCCAGTAACGATCTCTGCAGAAATCAAGTTGTTTAACCAAGGCCATTTGTGTGTTAATCATTCACGAGAGACTTTCAGACCCAGCTCAAGGGTCACACACAGCACTGGAGTCAGGTGTGG